ACCAAGTTAAACTAAAAATTCAAAATCTTGCTACTCCGCAATTATTACAATGACATTATTAGTTTTAATATCCATATCACAGTGTAGAGAGTTGTCCATCATATTTCTTTTTTAAAGTTTCACATCAAATTAGAGAGCCATCCAATATAATTTTTTTGCATTATTCTAGATTCCTAATTATCTAGTCAAAACCATATTAAACTTTATTCAATTTTTTACTAGTTTTTTAAGTTTGATTAAAGATAGCAAACTTTGCAGGGTTCATTTTAGGAAAAAGTGGAGTCATTGGAGTAAAATTTAGAAAATTAAAAATAGCAGTTCTAGTTGTACACTTGCACTAGGTACAACAAAGCAAAGAAAGGTTAAAATAAAGAAAAAAAAAAAAAGCACAAAACCCTTGATACCACGTCGTTTAAGTCCCAACCGTTCACCAGTATACCAATCGAAAGTCGAAGCTCATCCCAGATTTTGCAAAAGGAGAAGAGAACTTCCCAAATCTCTGGCGTAAGTATGCCGGCCTCCTCCACCTCATCATCCTCGGCGTCCTCTTCATCGGACAGCTCGTCGGATTCTTCGCCTCGGCGCCACCGTCGTCGCCGCCATCAACGCCGAGACAAAGACAAAGACCGAGACGAGCTCAAGGTGAGCAAGAAAAGCCACCACCGCTCTTCTCAATCCAAACGGCGTCGTCATAAGCGCCACTCCTCCTCGTCCGACCGATACTCTTCTTACTCCTCTTCCGCTTCATCGGATGATGATTACAGGTCTCATTTTTTTTTTTCGACCCTTCCCTTTTATCTTGTATTTTAATTATTTCGAAAAGAAAATCTCCCCTCTGTTATTTGATGAAGTTTGGATTTTTCTTTTCTCGGAAATCTGTTGACTGACGTTTGTTCTAGGATGTTACGGATTGCATTTGGTTGTTTTGGGGATTGTAGTTCTTTAATTTTTCCTTTTTTTTGGGGGGGGGGGTGTGTGATTTATTTAATTTAGATTCTTTTTCTAAGGTTGCATTTAATTATCGTGAATTCTGCCTTGTCAAAAAGCAGTGAAAAATGCAACGGGTGGTTTGGTTGGGTAGAGAAGATTTTAGCTTCTTGTTCTGAAAATAATATTGAGCTTTTAGTAAGCTAAAAGGAAGCTATAGATATGTAGGAACATCTAAGAATATTCTTTAGCTGGAAGTAAGCAGTGCTAGATTAAACATACTATTAGCTCATGAAATCCGACCTTTAGGGTAAGGTAGACCATTTTTGTCATCTACTTGCTAATTCAAGCTGCAATACAAGGAGGCATAATGGAGGCGTTCATAAAGGCATTACTTAGGTCACTTTGGTGCCTTGACAGTCTGTGACAGTAAATAAACCTTGTATTTGCGGTGGTTTATTGTTTTTTACTTTTCTTTCTAGGCTTGGGGTTAGAAACCTTGTTTTGAGTTGTTTATGACCTAAACTGTTTTAATATCATTTTTCAAGGATATTCATTCTTTTTCACTTTGTTTTCAACTTCAGCGTGGGCTCCCCTTGGGCAACCTACGCACTTGTTGTAGTTAGGAGACACTTGCTGTTAAGGTGTTTGTAATGTCAGTTGAATGTAAGTCTAGTCACTTGCTTGAAATCATTTATTAATTCAATGCAAAATTTTAGGCTTTGCCTTTGTCAAAATTTTTCTTGGATTTTTCCTTATGAGATGGTGGTACCAATTTGAACTTTATACTTTCGAGTATTCTTAGCTTGAATAGAAAGCTTTCATAATATAGAGGCGGTGCAGTCAGCAGATGCTGCTATGAAGAGAAGGGACGGGAACGGGGGATAATATGCTGCCTATATTTTGCCAAAATTAACTATTTCATAGGTTGAGCAGACTAATAGAATGCAAATTATATTAAACAGACAAAACATGGAATGCTGGGAATCAATAACTTGTTCACTCCATGAGATGGTGCTCATTCTATTGGATCTGATTTTAATTTGTCTATTGGTAACATGGTTACCTGGTATTGAGCAAGAAATGGTAGAAGATTGGTCAAGATTCCTTAATACGATTTGCACTGGAAATACAGGACTATCGCATTAGCCTAAATCAGTTCAAATTTTTCACAAGTCTCTTCAAAATTGTTTAATACTACCATGTGGTCAACTTCTTTTTAGCTATAAAAGTTGGAACTGTATTTTCCAGAAGCCTGCTTCAAGTCTGATCTCTTACTTGTTCCAAAAGTGCAGGAAATCTACATTAAAAAACTGGAAAGTAATTGGTAGTTAGGAGGTTTCCTAGTATCTATAAGGTTTCTTAAAATGCTTTCAATTCTGGTTTTGTTTGATCCGATGTTAAAGGGGGTTGCTTGGTTTATTGCGGTCTAAAGATGGGCAGATCATCTTACTTATTAGGCAATCTCTGTAAGGCTTACCTAAAAGTTCTCTGCTCTGTTAATAAACTCATTATGCCGTGCATTAGAGGGTCTGTACATTATGTTGTTCTCAAATGATGCCATATTGCACTTTGGCTTTTCCCCCTCAAACACAAGGAACTTGAATTTGAATTTCTATTAATGTATATATGCTGCAGATTGAAAAAGTGACTTCGAATTACTATTTGGTTTAATTAAACTATAACAGGAACTTGGAGATTTCGTCTCATGCCATATTTTTTGTTATTGCAGTTCCTCTGATAGTGAACATGACGCATCAAATCGTTCAAAGAGGCACAAATCGAGTGACAGACCCAAGAAGGTTGTCTTGAATAATGACTTTATTTACTTCCCATTGGTTACTATTCCTCTTCCATTGTGTAACCTTCTAATGGCTTCTGATCTTTCAGAGCAAGGATAAAGAGAAAAGGAAAAGCCATCAGCATAAACGTCACAAGCACAAAGTCAAAGAGGTAGATTACTGGTTCAGCTTTGGATTAGAGTGATCACATCCCTAATGTTGTGATTGAAACAACCTTCTTAGCCATGTTAAGAGTTCTCTCATGTGTGGTAGTTTATTGGTTTTGTTTTTATGAATTGGTGTATACTTTTTTTGACGTGACGCTTATAATACTTTCTGTCTGTTTTAATTAATGGCTCTTCGAAATTGGAGCTGGGTCTGTGGCATGATGATGGGGTGGTTGATTGGCTTGCTCGGATGTTGTTTCTGCCTCGGATTTTATCCTGGTAATGGGAGCTATATATAGAAGCAGCAGGAGGAGAGTAGCAGCCCTGTGCAGCTGTCTAAGGTTGTCTTTTCGCCCTCTAAGATTTCCTTTTGAAATTTGCTGCTTAAGTTTTCTTTTCCTCTGTGAACTAATTTATATTCTGGGTACAATACAGTTTCTGGGACGAGACAAAGATGACAGTGTCCGTCGTAGTGCTGTCTCTGGCAAAAAGGTAGATGTCCGGCTTCTTAAAATTAGCACAATATAGTCATCTAAATGTAAAACATTAATGCAAACTGGTGTCTTGGAGGATTTCATGACTCTATATTGTGCGTAGATCTTCTTACTGAAATATGAAAAAGTCAGATGAGCTGACTCGATGCTCATGCTAGAAAAGATTTGCTTTCTACTGGTTGCATTTGATTCGCATTAAGTAGCTTTAGATTGTCATATATATTATCAGGAAGACACCTAAGGTTATATCGTGTTCTTGACTTGTAGATTCTATTAAAGCTTGAGAAATCAAAGGAGGACAAAATGGCAGAAAATAATCGGAACAAGCTACTGAATTTCTTGAATGCTAGTTATGATTGATCAGGGACCCCAGAAAGGTTTCGTGGAATGGGATTTCTTGGGGCAGATGATTGAAGCTGTAAGACATTCATGAGGATTCAAAGGCACTCCATATATTAGTTAATTACAAGATATGGAAGTGTGTTCTTTCTCCGCCTCATGGTTTTTTGAGAACTTATATGGTTGTTGTATCATTATTCTTATTATTATTATTGACATTGTAGCTCGATTTTGCATTTCTGACATTCAGCGTTATACGACTCCTGATTTTGCGTTATTTAGTTGTATCAAAAGCTGTTACATCAAAACTGTTTTGGTGGTCTTTTGGGGCATCCACAGCCATCTTCCCTGGCTTTTATAGTATAAATAGATAAGGCCCCGGACTGGAGTTAAAAAGAAATTTGCGCAGGTTGTTATCATCAACTGATTGAGGTGCTGATCAATTATAGTATAGAATGTGCCGCAAGATGTTCCAAGATAAGTTTTCTTGATCCGCATCCAATACTTTGATTTAACTTCAAGCAATGTCCGACTACGAACTATATTAGCATGTTATTTTGGGATGCAAGTTAAAGAATCTTTTACCTTAAATATGCTCTTTTGGATTGCTATGTTCAATATTTTCATTGTACTTACAGGCCGTGTAAGTTTGTTCATTTGTAGCGCTATTTTTGTGATAAAATTAATATTCGGAATGCATTCCATAGAATTAGGGATGTACGCGAGTCGTAATCGAGTAGCTCAGTCAACAGCTCAACCCGAGTTCGAGCCGAGTCTCGAGCTACTCGATTGTCATTCGAGTCGAGTTTCGAGCCAATATTTTGAGGCTCGAGACTTGTCAAGCTACTCGTCGAGCTGGAGTATTTAAATAATATATTTATAATTTAAATAATATATGTATTATAATTATAAAATGATCATTATCAGTATAAGTTTTACGAAATTTACATTCGAGTCGAGTTAAAAAACTTGATTAGACTCGACTTGATAAGGCTTGACTAAAGGTCGAGCCTTATCGAGTCGAGTCTCGAGCTTAAAGCGAGTTTCTCGAGTCAAGTTTCGAGTATCGATTTTTTGTACTCGGTCGAGCTCAAGCCTAGATATATATGAGTCGAGTCGAGCTCGAGTATAACAATACTCGAGCTCGACTTGGCTTGATCACATCCCTATATAGAATGCCATTTTGCAGATGTAATATACAGCCTTGCGTTGCCATGCTAGATCAAGAATGGAAATGAAGTAGTTTGAGAGATTTAGAGGATGCCTTTATTTTTCCCCCAAAACGATAACTTTCATCGCATAAAAACTATGTTACAAAATTCTGAGCAACTGCTCGTCATATCTTCCTTGGTTAGTGTATCGAGCCAAGTTGGGAAGTTTCTTTCCCAGGTTACAACAGTAATCAAGCTCAGAGCAAAATTTGCCAGCGTATGACTAACTACATTGTTTATTCTTCTAATCAAAGAGAAAATGCAAACATCAAACTCATTCTTCAACTTGATAATATCCTTCAGAATTGTAGTGCAGTACACATTCTCAGCAGAGTTTTCTTGCAGCTTCCGTATTACATTTTTGCAATCTGGTCGAATCTGTATTTCCTTCCATCCTTTCTGTTTAGCTTTCATTAAGGCCATTTGTATGGCTAATTCTTCTTCCACAGTTGGTTCTGAAGGACATTTTTGAGGAATTGCCCACGTGGAGATCAGTTTCCCTTCTGAGTTTCTAGTCACTATACCCCATCCAGCTTTCCCTCTTGATGTCTGTACCGCTGCATCTATATTGATTCTGATGCATTTCTCCCTTGGTGGAACCCATCTTTTATCTTCTTCTTTAGGCCCTCTGATCTCCTCTTGTTCCATTATAGCTGTTTGTGCTTCTTTGCACTCTATCCATTCTGATATGGCCTTGTTGATCTGTGTCATTGGTTGCCTCTTCATTGTGTTGAACTGGAACTCGTTCCTCGCCTTCCAAATCTGCATAAAATATTGATGGTTAAAGCAATATGATCATGACCATTTTCTCTCTGGGTCACTCCCAGAAGCTCAGTGCCAGAAGTTGTCTCTATACTTTTTCAGTCCATCCCATTTTATAGGAGCACATTTCCATATTGCTTCTGCATTTTTACAGAAGAAAAACATGTGCTCTAATGTTTCCACTTGATTGCCACAGACACTTGCACGTTGTTCTCCTTTTCCCATCCTAGTCTTTATCACTTCATTCACAAGTAGAAACCCCTTTAGGAATTTCCATATGATGTTTCACATTCATTCCCCCCAACAGTTTCCATATTCTTGTTCTGCTCTCATTTCTGCTACTTTCTCCACCTATGATACTCCTGGATATCTTCTTTCTTTTCAGTTCCCTCGCCAGCATATACCCAAATCTTACTGTATACCCACCAGTTGGTGAGTGAAAACAATAGAACCTGTCTTTTGCCTTGCATGTACTTTAGAGGGATTTTTAGTACTTCTCTTGTATCCTCGCTGAAAATGGACTCTATCAATTGCTTGTTCCAATTTTCATTTGTGATCAGCTCTCTTACTTTGCTTATATATCTCCCCCATTGGTGGTGATGACTTAACCAAGCCATTTTCTCTCCCTAGAAGCCACTTATTGATTATGAAAGAAAAAAGGGATAATTACAGAAACCTCTCCTAAGGTATATAATTAAGGCCTCTTCTGAAGTTTGTATTTATATACAAATCTCCCCTAAAATTTAACGTTTCGATAACAAAGTTAGTCCAATTAGAAAAAGTAATATTAAAAAAGTACTTTAAGAAAAAGGATGAAAATTTTATTTCATAAATGCCTCTTATGTAGGTATATAAATCGTATTAGTAAAAGAATAAAATAATTAAAAGTTAGTAACAACTAATGAACACATTTAACCACTCAAAAAGTTTATATTTAATAAATTAGACAATAAAAATAAGCAACAAAACTACACTAATGATTACAAAATTCAATAAAATAGACCAGTCATTTCTTTTAACTTGATGTTTGATATGATTATTGTCGTTTTGAACAGAAAAATTTTTAAATTTTGTCTTTCTTTTCCCTCCTTTCTTCCTTATTTTCATGAAATTACTTTACAATTGTCTCATTTATTTCCATAAAATTACTTTACAATTGTTACAACTTTAAAAATTTCAAAGAAAATTGAAAGGAGAGAAAAGAAAGGCAAAGTTTGAAAATTTTTATGTTCAAATTACAAGAATTATAACAAATATCATGTTAAAAAAGATGACTAGTTTGTTTTGGCAAATCTTGTAATTATTAGTATAGTTTTGTTACTTACCTGTGCTGTCTAATTTATTAAATATGAACTTTTTGAGTGGTTAAATGTGTATATTAATTATTGTTATTCTTTTACTAATATGACTTATGTCCATGCATAAGGGGTATTTATTAAATAAAAGTTTCAACTCTCTGCTCAAAGTACTTTTTTAATGTTACTTTTTCTAATTGGACTAACCTTTTTATCAAAATCTTAATTTCAGAGTAGGTTTGTATAATTTTACAAACTTCAGAGAAGGCTAGTGAAATTGTCAGAAACATCCGGGGAGATTTCCGAAATTATCCCAAGAAAAATGGATGAAGGGCAGGAGGGTTCAAAAGGAAATAAGAAGATGCATATGTGGGCAATAGCGTCATACAAAAATTGGCCCGGGAAACCTTCGACCCCCCAATCTTTGTATAAATAGTAGCAGCCCAGATCAGTGACTTCGTTTTAGGGTTCGAGACCCCGCCATGCGGCCTCCTCATCTTACCCATTGTTCTGTATCTCTTCTTCATTTTGTCTTGGGTTTCTTCTCAGCAGAAGCTTCTTTTTTTTTTTTTTTTTTTTTTTTTTGGGTTTTCTGTTCTTGTTTTACCTTTACTCTGTATCTCTTCTTCTTTTCGTCTTCGTTTTTTCCCCAACAGCAATTTCTTTTTTTGATTTTTTTTGGTTTATTGTTTCTGGTTTATCGCACATAGTTCTTCTTGGCAATTCAATCACAACAGTTTCCAAGATTTTATCTGTGCGTAAAGAAATCATCCATTCTGCTTGAGCTTTCTCCCCATGAAACTGTGGAGCTATGCTTCAATGGTAATGGCTGACACCTCAACTATGACATTATTCTTTCCCCTATAGAAAATGATATAATTTTTTCTTTCAAAACGTCCGAATCCTTGTCTTGCCACAATTGGCAAAAAATGGAAACAAAATCAATTTTTTCTTTTTGGATAATGCCCCTTTGATTTGAAGGCCAAGCTTATAAATTTGACACGTTATTGTCTTTTCTTTTTCATTTTTTGCACATAAACTCTCAAATGAGGCATTAGGTACGAGGTCCTTGGTCATATCAATGCTATGCTTGTACTACTAGTTATTGATGTATTGTTTGTGTTCTGCAAATTGAAAATAAAGAGTGGCACTTGGCTCCTAATCAAAGATTAATTGTTATGAATCTAACTCTTACTCTTTGTTTCAATTGCATCTTTCTAGATTTTTTATAAAAAAATTATTGTGACGATGTGAGGTAAAATGGTGATTGAAAAATGTGTCTACGAAAAACGTAATAATTTTTCTTTAGAAAATTACAATCCAACCACTCCTTAAACATTGAAGGATTTGTTGATCATCTCAAATGAAAAAATTGGATTAACTTCTTATATATAGATAGTGTAGTGATTTTTGTACACTAACAATTATGAATGCATTGTATTTTTAAATTTGAATTCATGTTATCCGGTAATGATTTAAATTTATAATTGTAAAATATATTTATACTAATAGTGTACACAAAAATTTATTTTCAAAAATTTGGCCTGAAAAATGTACACAATGTATAAGAATTTTACTCTAAAATTCGACCAAAAAAAATCAAATCTAAGGGAGACGAAAAAGGGGTCAAAAGAAGTATGATGGACGGATCAGATGTTTTATTGCATCGAGGGACAGCAGCCCAACCCAAACCCATCATTGTCTTGCTGCCCAGTTTCCGACCTCAACTAAGCTTGTTTTGGATTGGATCTAACTCTAATATGTAACATTGGCGTATTTTTTATGAAATCAAAATTTTGTAAATCAAAAGAAGTGTAATTGACGGAAAAGGAGAAATATGAATGGATAACATTTTATTGCATTCCAGGGACATGAGCCCATCCCAAACTGAACCAACTGGGTGGGTTTCTGGCCCATTCCAACCCTACAAATCTGTCAACTGGCAATCCACAACATCTACACCAAACTTTAGGAGCCTGGACCTGTGACAAACATTTTACCTTATGAAAATAATTTCAGGGAGATTTTACGGTCCTTTTTGGATATCATACGCCCAAGTTAAATTCACTGTTAAATAGTGAAAAATATGTTATTGGCTCTTAAATATTAACAATTCCAAAGATTTAAAATCCAAACTATTATTTTTATTGAAAGATACAAGTTGAAGGGATGGTATCCAAAAGGGACCATAAAAATTTTTCATAATTTAAACGAAGTAAAATTAGGGTTTGGAATCTTTGCTTGACCCAACAAAGAAAAAAAAAAAGAAGAAAACTTAAAAATTTGGGGAATACTGAATTCTATTTTCCTCTTAAAGAAGTCTAATGAAATGTTTAACTATATCCCCAAAACCCAATCTAGCTAGTAAAGACATTAGATAGGTAAGGTTCCTAGTTCAACCAATGTTTTCAAAATCGGTTGAACCGGACATGCCACCGGTCCGGTCTGGAGCTAAAGCCGGAGATTAATAGAAAACCGTTAGAAACCGGTTGATCCGGACGAACCGTGAAAAACCGCTTGAACCGTAAACCGGCAGTTTTTGAAACTTTTGTGAACATTGCAAAATTAGTTTCGGAATTGTGGCTGATAAGAATCGAACATGGGTTCATAGGATTGCAAGGAGGGTTCTTTGCCATTAAGCCACAGGTTAGTTTGTTATTTGTGGACATCTACTTAATTTATTAAGTAAAAAATTGAAAATACCCTAGCACTAAAAGTCTAAAACACGTCAGCCTCTTATTCCTTTGTTGGCTTCAATTCCTTGGTGTCGGCGGCTCATTCAATCATTCTCCTCTGTTCTGTTTCTTTTTCCTCTTCTCATTTTGGCATTTCAGCCGTGAATTGAATATTGATCTAGTTTGTACTATTTTTGCACGATTTCTTCGCCTCAGTTGCAGAGTTGAGATTCGCAAGTAAATTTTGAAGGAAATCCAAAGAAGTACTAATCTAGTAATCAACTTTTTCTTTTTTTATTTTATTTTTTTTCATGAATTTGTCCTTTTTTTGTCTATTTTTTGTCATGTAAATACACTCAAATGCAATACTAAACTACATATATCTTTGATTTTTGGATAATTTATGGTTGTTCTTTGTTTTAATTGGGCTAAAATTTGTTGCATGTAATTCCCTTTTTTCTATTTTTTGGTTCATTTTGAATTTAGCAAAATAAAATATAATAAAGACACCTATGCTATGGGCAATTTCATTTTATAACTATTATTGTTTTCTTCCATTAGTTTTTTTTTTAAATTTTAGTTTGTATCCTTCTTGCTTTGTTGGGGGAATACAAGGAAAAAGACAGTCCCGTGGGTTGTTTTTTTTGTTTTTTTAACTGATGCAAATTCCAAACAGTCCAACTTGGTTTTTTTGCTTGGACTGATGTTGAAGAGAAATTTAAATAAATGAATGCATAAGATACAGAGATTGGGTAAGAAATGCTCCCAGAAATATTGTTGCAAATAGAAATAAAGACAAAATATAAATAGAAAAAATATAAATTGAATAAGGCAAATATTTCATAAACCGATTGTGCTCTATTTCATGTCCAATTTTCATCGAATTTTTTTAGTACATTATTTATAGGAAAAGTAGAAAGAAAACTTGCGGTAAATTACGATATTTTGGTTATGTTTATCATTCCAATTCATGTATAAATTTTAGGAATTTTATTATTATCTCAACTTAAATTTAATTTTAAGTTATTTTAGTGATTGCATTTTAAGAACTTAAGTTATCAATAACTACTTTGGAGCATCAATAACAATGCTTTTAAATTTAGTTTTAGCACTGAAGTTGCATTCCCAAAAAAAAAAAAAGAAAAAAGCAGTGAACCGGTGAACCGGCCGGTTGAACCGGTCGGACCCGGTCGGACCTCGAACCAATCCCTTCTCCGGTTCATTGGCCGGTCCGAGTTTAAAAACATTGAGTTCAACTCTTAAACTCTCATGATTTTTCCCTTATCCCTTGTAAGGTTTAAGCTTAGAGTCTTCCCTTGTAAAAATAGTAACAATAGAAATTGCTTAACTTCTATAGTGTGAGAAAATCACTGCAATATTTTCTTTTCCAATTTGGCAAAACGCAACAAGTGCTTTAGACAAAGGAGATGTATTTCTAGTATTAATACAAATTTATTAAATAAAATGATTTTTAAAAAGAAAAAAACAAAAACTCTGCGCGAATTGGCCGATACTTTTTTCTTTCTTTCACAAATGTTACAGAAAATGCACACACACCACTCACTCAAACGACGCAGAAGACATCGATAAAATCGGCCCCAAGAACAATCTAAAGGAGATCCACAGAGAAATTCCATCCAGCCAATTGGTGACAGGAGAGACTCCCAGAGTAACTACTCCACGATCTTTCAATGAATCGGTCGATACTTGAATGCTCAAAATTATTCGGTCTTCCTCCTCATTTACTCCCCCATTCATTTACATCTGTGCTCTATAATTTTCCTTTAGTGCCATGACAAACCATAATTATGCGGTCCCATTCCAAATTTCCGATGCATTGATATGATCAATTTTGCACCAAATGCCCAAACTATCCTTACTGCCAGAGCTAAAATCTTCCTGCCAGAGCAATTTTGCACCAAATGCCCAAACTATCCTCACTCAGTAACTTATGGCTGTATGGAAAACGTGCCACTTTTCTTTTGTGTCGCACTTAGTGTCTTTCGGGGCAGTTCCATCTTTGTTTTTACATCTCTCAAATCCCAGTACCTCGATCCCCCTTCGATGATAAGATTGATCTTTATGTGCCACCCTTTTGTCTCTCCCCTTTCGCTACCTTTCTATGTTGGCATTCATATGCTGAAGTGTCATTTGGATCTTGGACAGCAAAATGAAATTCATAAAATAATCCTTTTATGTTTTTACTATTTTCCCTTTTTTTTCCCCTGAAACGATAGAAATATTTATTTCTACTAATAGAGAATATTACAATATATGAGCAAGGGTTCAAACTTGTCCTTTACAAAAGTGTACTAAGACACTAAGGATCAAAGAACTTCTCATTAAAATAGATGTGCATTGCTTGCTTACTCAGTTTATGGCTGAGTATATTAGTACTACCATTGCCAGACTGACTATCAAATGAGCATGTCCTAAACATTGAGTTTAGATCTTTTACATACTCTAGGTGGGTTGCTTTACGCATGTTGCTAGGGGCTTGATAGATTATCATCGATCTTTAAAATCTGATTGCATGGTGGCTGAATCTATATGTTCTGCCAACCTCGTTTCTTTAGCTTACAAAGTGTCAATTGTATAGCCATTAAATTGTCCAAGACAGCTGATCCAGTGCTTCTTTCTTTCAGCATCCACACTGCACCTGTCTGGTTCATGGCATTTGTTGTTATTATTCCAATTCCCATATTCTGTCCTTCAATGTGTTGCCCCACATTTACACGAATGATCAGCATGTTTCCATCTGCTCCCACCCTTTCCTCTTGTTCATTTGCATCTGTTTCTGAGATGCTCCCACCTAATAACAAAGTAGTCTCTATTCCTCTGTTTCTTATTTGTACAGCTGCCATGTATCTCTAATCTTTTGTTAACTCAAACTCAAATAAAATTACAAGTTTACTCAAAATCAATTAAAACAGATAACTCAAAAATTTTTTTTTATTTTCTTTTTAACAAAAAAAAGTCTTGTTGATCATAAGCATAGAAATCAACTAAAACTCTTTTTTATTTTTTACCCCAAATCATCTTTTTTTTTAACCCTTACAAGTACTTTGATTCACTTATTATATCTTTAATCTTGCAGCAAAAATGCTCAAAGGATCAAGTAGCAAGATTCAATTTCATCTTTATCCAGGTAAAACAAATCAATAGATCATGTATGATCAACAAGGCTCTTTTTTGTTAAAAAGAAAATAAAAAAAGTTTTGAGTTATCTGTTTTAATTGATTTTGAGTAAACTTGTAATTTTATTTGAGTTTGAGTTAACAAAAGACTAGAGACACGTGGCAGCTGTACTAATAAGGGACAGAGGGGATAGAGATTACTTTGGGAACAGAGGATTCGAAGCCATGAATTCAGGGGAGAGAGGAAGAAGAAAGGCCCACATGGCTTGGGACGCACTTACTGTTAAATCATCTGCCAATAAAGGGTAGTTAGGGTATTTGGAGTAAAATTACTATGACAGAAAAATAATAGTATTTTTTTTGCCAAACACGAATAGATTCTATTCTACACTTATACCTACTCTAGAGTCTAGATTAAGGGACGAGGGAACCCAAAGGGACTAAAGGGAGAATTTGGAGGGGATTGAACCATCGTCGATCCAACACCTGTTGGCGAATTTTTTTTTTGAAATTCTACATTTTTTTAGAATGTAGGTCAAGGGATTTGATCCTTTATCTATTCTCATTCTCCCTAGTGGCCAACTATTCTAGAAGTAGTTGGTTCTGACAGAAAAATAATAGCTCCGGCTATATAACGGCTATGTTTGGATAGCAAATTTTTTCAAAAAATTTTTTTGCTTGTATCATAAATACATTTCCCAATCTGCATTTTTATATTACTAATCACCTTTTTATCTCATATACAACACATCACAAAATGTACTGCAGTAATTATTTGGAATAATACTCTATCCAACCCTCCTTATCATTGAAAAATTTTCCTTTCAAGTCGGAACACGGAAGGAAGAATCCAGAAATGAATTTCAGATAATGAAAATTAACCTCTATATCTTAAGGTTAAAGATGGAACTCTAACAGCATTATCTGATTTTGACCGAAAAAAAATCTCATAACACTAAATAGAACTTTAACTATATATATATATATATATATATATATATATTGCATTTCTAGTTGAATTAATATCTTACTATTACATTTTAGTGCATTTATATAAATGGAAATTTATAATACGAAGTATTCTTTCAGTATAAATATTTTACTTAGAAAATCTTTTAAATTGTGATTTTCAACTCTCTCTCTAAAGTCTAAATACTCTATCAAATCAAACTAAGACATTGAATTAGAAACCATGCATTCAATGAGACAGACAAGGCAACTTTCTAAAGATTACCATATAAGGAACAGTCCACTTGAGAGGGAAAGGGGGTCGAAGGGGAGTAGTTCAGCCACAACCATATATATCCATCTTCAAATGCACTTCATTACCTTCCTCCTACATCATTTCAAATTTTCAACCTTTTCTTCTTCTTCTCCTCCTTGTTCATAGCCAAAAAGCAGCCACAAAATGGAGGGCATCGAGCACAAGATAGTGGACTTAAATGGCATAAACATGCACGTAGCTGAAAAAGGTGAAGGCCCAGTAGTCCTCTTCCTCCACGGTTTCCCTGAGCTCTGGTACACATGGCGCCACCAGATCACGGCGTTCGCCACCTTAGGCTACCGTGCCGTTGCGCCGGACCTCCGTGGCTACGGGGACACTGATGCTCCTTCTTCTATATCCAGCTACACTTGCTTCCACATTGTAGGTGACCTCGTGGCCCTCATTCAGTCCCTAGGCGTAGACCATGTTTTCTTGGTGGCTCATGACTGGGGTGCCATGATTGCTTGGTACTTGTGCTTGTTTAGGCCTGACATGGTGAAGGCATTTGTGAGCTTGACTCTGCCTTTCCGGCCAAGGAATCCTAAGATGAAGCCCATTGCCGGCTTGCGGGCATTTTTTGGGGAGGAGTATTACATGTGCAGATTCCAGGTTTTTTTTTTTTTTTTTTCCAGATGACCAAAAGCATTTAGATTTGAAATCAGCTTTTTAAGTATGACTCTTTATTATTATTATTATTATTTTGGAAACTTTTTATGTTCGACTTTGAACCAAAAGGGATTTGTTTCCATAGATCTATTTGCTTCTTGGACAATAGGGAATGAAATGAAATGGATCATGCGTCCACTTTGATTAACCTCTCACTGTCTTATTTCCCGTTTGAATTGCATTTTTTGGGAGTTTTTTGAGGGAAAATTACTACAAAAAATAAAATTTATGTCAGATAAAAAGGTAATTAAAAATTATGTTGAACAAATATCCACAGAGTAGAACCACGAAATTTTTCAATTGAAAAATACAATCCAAATGGGGCCTTAGTATCTGCGTATGAGGTCTCGACTCTTGGCCTCAGCCACTTGGGTCGGGTAAGGGTTGGGTGGTTAGGGTTGCCTTGTAAATCATTTAAGGGGATCATTAATTCCAGTGTCGCTAATATATTTTTCTGTGAACTTTAGTGTATGCTTATGAGATGTATATCTTAGAAAAATATCAAATCAACTAAATTACGGTTCACCAGATTCACCAATTTAGTTCACGGTGTCTGCTCAAAAAAAAATTGTCATGTGACGGACACCTTAATATTGAAAGTTAGGCTACTTGCCTGTCCAATTGACTGGTGTAGTTGTCACATGACACATCAAAAAGTTGCAAGATAGCTACTTGCAAAATCTTCTTGTTACCTCAAAGTTATTCATGATGTTTTATGTTATTTGAAGGGTTTTTTAGTTTTAGAAATCTGATTTACGCAAGGGAAGAAATTCTTGCGAAAGATTAGAATTTGTCCAAATTTGTGAAACCATGCACAATTCTTAGGTGAGAAGGAGAGGATAAATACGGATTTGACTCCTCTCAAGTGGATCCTGTCTCGATTTTCGACAATGCACGTCTGAATGAATGGATGATATGTGTCTTTATTTATTACAAATAAATTTAATTCTAATCAGTGTTAATAAATCAGGACACGTATCATGCATCCAAACGTGTACTGTAGAAAATGGAAAGAAAATCTACGGAGAGAAGCCAAGTCCAATAAATACAACAACGTGTATGCTAGATCTGAACCCAAAGAAAAGGGCTATTTTATTATGGCACCCCATATTCTGGATTAATAACTCTACAAATGCAGACAAACCACTGCTCCCAATAAATGAGACGTAGGCATTAAAGACGTAGGCAGGTCATACAACTCATATGGCTTGGTTGTTTGTGGGCGTACATTGTGAGCTATGACCTGTTGTTCGTGGTTCATAAGCATTTTTTCTTGAATGCCAATTCAGTCTTCTTGAATGCGCTGTTTCCATTACCTAAATTCCAGTTGCATTTATGGCCATAATTTAAGCCCTGCATCTCCCATATTAAAAGGCAAAAGCCAAAAATGAGAGTGGAGTAAAATGGTTTCATTCATTTTGTTTGGGTTGAATATGGAAAAAAAAAAAAAAAGAACATTTGAAATTTTGTTTAGATTGAGAAAAGAAAAGATCGAGTGTTAATTAATAGGATAAGAAAAAAATGACTTTTTAAAAAAATTTAAGTTATTTTATTTGATGTGATTCTCTTTCATTCTATTTCTGCTCGCTTTTGGATCGAAATCATACTTCAACGAAATAACTAGATCGTTTCATTTCCATTCCCTTTCTATCCTTTTCTTTGCCTCTCAAGAATCAATTAAAATGAGCATAATCAAATCCCTTCAATTCCTTTCCTTTCGTTTTTGTCCGACTCCCTCAATCCAAACCTTTAAAACGTTTTAGATAGATAAATTTGTCGCATAATCTCTATCAAAGCTATGTATAATTGATTGTTAAAACTATAGGTCTCCATATCCCTAGTTTAAGGTGTAATTGTTTAACACAAGTCCTTTGGACATTGGTCATGATGGTCTTTGATTTCTCAATTATTTCCACTTGAATTAATTGCAATATATACCCTTGAAATGTCACCTATTTGCACTATAGACCCTCAACTATCAATTTATAGCATCAAGTTGTCCCACCATGCACTGGATTTGAATGACTTAGCTTGTAGAATCTGCACTTTACACTCTTAAATGCATGAATTTGCACTTTATGACTTGAGTATCTATGCCATGTTCTATAACACACATCTTGGTAACATACAACCGACAATAAAATGTTTATCGTTAGCTTGTGTTTGGATTGCATTTTTCTAGATTTTTTGTAGAAAAATTACTGTAGCGATTTGATATATGTGAAGTAAAAAAGTGATTGGAAAATGTGTTCACGGAAAATGTAGCAATTTTTCTTTAGAAAATTCCTGTCCAATTAAGTATTTTCATGTCACAGGAACCTGGAGAGATTGAAGCTGAAATTGCAAAATATGGGAGCAAAGCAGTACTCAAGAAAATTCTTACAGATCGTAAACCTGGTCCTCCTTGTCTACCAAAGGGGAACCCTTTTGGGATTTCACCTGATACTGACATCAAATTGCCCGCCTGGCTATCAGAAGAAGACTTGAAGTACTATGCTAACAAATACGCCCAGAAGGGCTTCACTGGAGGATTGAACTACTACCGTGCATTGGATTTGTACGTTTTCTTTCTTGATGAATTGCCTTCTTGGCTTTCTTGTTCTTGTCTCTAGTCTCCATTTATGCATCCACATTCTAATTGGAGCAAATCTAGGATCATACTTGATAGACTTGTCTCAGGTGCAGTTCCCTCTTAAACCATTGCAAAACACTATTGAAGTCCATGCTGTTTAGTTTTACACAGCAAAGTTAGAAAGAACTGAGCTCTTTAATGATCATCACAGTTTTATGAATGTCGTTAGGGAAAATATTGGTCAAAATTGAAAAATAGTGAAAGATTAAACATGGAGACTAATGAATCTAAAGGATAGAATGCATTGAGAAAATTCCCTTGGCTTTCTTCCTGGTTTTAAAGATGGATTTTGCCTTTCATAGTAATCTTTCCACACTGTTGCAGAAACTGGGAGCTGACTGCAGCATGGACAGGAGCACAAGTGAAAGTTCCTGTGAAATTCATAGTCGGAGACTTGGATATGGTGTATACCACTCCAGGGACACAGGAATACGTACATGGTGGCGGCTTCAAAAGGGACGTGCCATTCTTGGAAGAACCTGTGATAATGAAGGGCACGGGCCACTTCCTCCACCAAGAAAGAGCTGAAGAGATCAACCATCACATCCATCATTTCATCAAAATGTTCTGAGAGCTACTTGTGGTAATATGCCCTGCGGTTCTGCAGAGTGGCAATTGAACATTTAGAAGCTTGATTTTCCGCTAGGTATTCTCAGTTATGTCTGTTCGCTGTTCCTGCTGCAGGATTTCCTTCTTTGATTTTTTATTTTATGGTAAAGCTTCAAGATCATTCAATTCTTACTATCAATCATCCATTAAACAATTCTGTAACGCTTTGGATAAGAATCCAGTATCACCTGTATTTTGCAACGTCAAGCACTTGATCAAAGATCTATAGAACCATGAACCCAAGAGCTAGTCAGATCTCAGCCAACGCTGGAAGACTGACAACTAATGCTAGGTAAGGAGAGAAACAAGCTCATCAGGTTTGCCTCACCACTAGGTTTCATGTCAAATTACACTTCAGCACCATGCAATCATTACCTGCGTTCCGAAATTTGTCTGTCTAACTGTGAAATAGAGATGCATCCATTCTTATCTCATAACCTGTAGGATGAGTACTCCACGTAGAACTAATAAAGCAAACCCAAGACAATTATCAAAAGAAGATGGCCATTGAAGCTTCAACATATAAGGTAGGCTTGTCTCTCCAACAAATTTTAACGGGTTCCAACTTCTATTTTCACGATTTCTCGAAAATTCCTACATTTTTTTGGCTCAACTATGCAACAAAATTGAAGAGATGACTAAAGTTCAGCCTCAAGATGTTTGAGGACCAGCCCCCGCTTTAAGATCCACACTCAAGAGGGAGGGGCATAACCTAACATTCATACAATTGTTATACATTTTCAGAACCAAAACCTGTAAACCCTCCAAGGCAGAAAAAAGGGTCTCAAGAAAACTGACTTTATCACCAGCATCCACATTAACTGAAAACTATTGCAGAAAAGAAAGCAGCTTTTCTAGCAGGTAAAACTTATTCATTTTCTTGCAAATTGGACATCCTTTGACCGTTGTGTCAGCTCAATCCAAACGCTCCATCTGTAAATACACTTTGAATTAATGCCATAGATACCAATTTGCATAATCAAATGTAGCTAGCAGAACAAATAGAAAAAAATTTTCCATTTGATGAACAAATCAATGAACTCAACTTACTTAACCACTTACAATGCCAAAATCTAAAGAAACTGCTGATAAGATGCAATTCCGATGGTTGTAATACTCGTGAGGAAATTTCAAGAAATACAGAAAACCTCCAAAAGAAAAATAAAACCACCTTAATGCTTTAAGAGACCAAAGAAATGAACTAGAAAAGAATATACCTTCCAGAGTCCATCGTTAAGATAATGCATATTATCCACACCAATTCCTTTATTGATTGACCTTCTGCAATAGCACAGAATAATTTTTAAAACATAGAGAACGTACTCACCAACATAACATGATCAAAACAAAGAAAATGCAAACCGAAAAAGGAAAGAAACATAAGAGGACAGTCGAAGTTTCCTAACAGCTTACAACAAACTTACATATCTTTAGCTGACATTTTAGTAAAACCAATAGCGAGAGCATGTTGCTTTCCTTCAGCCATTATAGCCTGATAATTGAAGTCAACGAGTCATAAATTCTAAGACCACAATCAAACCAAAATTGATACAACTATGGCACAACAGCACATCAAACCAAATATCTTTATATATCTAATTAGATTATAGAAATGGACATGGTAAAGCAATGAAGAATATGATTCTTGTACTTACCACAGGGGATTCTGCTTCCACGTCATCATCCAAAGCACCTCCAGGAGACGTAAGCCCAGGACACATAATATTCGCACCAGATAGGACAAATTTAATCGCGCCCCTATCAACTTGGAATTTTTTCATGATATTTGGATCTGTGAAAGAGAGAAATACATGCAAAAAGTAATTATAGACTAGTTTTGACAACCCTTAGACTATAATGATTTTGATGCCACAACTTGCTCAAGGAAACATGTTTAATGTGCAATATTAAATTTTTTTACTCCAACATAATGTAAACAACACCTGTCCCCTAATGAAAAAAGAGTTTTAAAAAGAAACTTCTACTTGAATCAGCAGATAAGTGCAGTTTTGATCAGAAATCCCTGCAGAGTAAAGCAATAAGAAAAGAAGAGTTCCACTCTGCCAATGGAAAACAAGGAGAAAACATTTACTTCTCAGGAGCAAACTACTAAAGGTGCTCATAAATTGTCAAAGCATTTTCCATATCATCCAACTTAGCCTCCAGCAATAGTAATCCTGAAACTGTTCAGCATTTTTCTTTTTCTGGTTGAATGAGAATCCTTGAGTACAGTCTAAAACTTTTGCACACTCAAGGCAACCAGCACCACATTCAAATATATTTGTTTAAGCAGCTAAAAACATAATAAACCTATTGACTGTACTATTGCTGCATACTTGTTTATGCATGCTAATGACAGGTGACTGCAACGCATCTCTCAGCCACCATCTCTCTAGGGCTCTTAAACTGTTCTGTTCTCATTTCAACTGTGTATAAGTCAGCACCAGTTGAAATCTGGTTTTTATTTTTACATTTTTTCTCTTGATGTTGAAGCACTTTTTATGATGTCTTTCTGTCATTCCTTCACAGTAATCCAAGAACAGTTAACATCGATTATCTGAGGATTGAACAAATCATGCTGGATGACAGAACCATTCCATATTAGTGACTACAATTTCTTGAGACCCAAAGGTGGCAATCAACATGACAAGGTAACACCACACTAGATTATCCTGTGAAGATAAGAATTTTTTACACACAGGTACACAACTCACTGGGATATATAGTTAAGCATATAATAAATGGATTAACACAACTAAACTTTTGTATCAAAGTATGATGTGATCTATATAAATGACATACTACATTTTCTTTTCGTACATAATTCCATAGAATAGGTACAATGGTTCTCCTAAGAAACTGATGTGTACATGACTCAGTTTGTGGTTAGACACCATTGTATTTTGTGTTTAACAGCATTGCTTACATATCTCATTGCAGGTAAAATTACTTTTAGTGATCTCATTGTTAGAATGCAAAATGCAGCAGGGAACCCCAGTGTTACGCTTCTTTTTTTTTTCTTGGTAAATTAACATAATGCTGGATGATATGTCAGCTAGCTGGTTGTTGAAAGCAATTATCCAAACAAAAACAAGATCTTCAATATGAAAACCAAATGGTTCACAAATGAAAACTAAGAAGGATGACTGCTAGAATCAAACTCTCTGCATCCCAGCATTTTGCATCTTATACTAGTTTTAAACTTGGACCTGGACATGGATTGAGGACCAGCGCCAATCCAACCAAATTACCCAATAGATCTTAAACAAGACATTTAGATGCAGGTTTTTTAAGTATGATATCTTATAAGCCTTTCAAATATTCAAATGTATATTATTAAACAAACTCATCATTGCAAATGGACAACTTCGTAATAAATAAGCTACATTCTGTAACTTTTGTAAAAAAATGTGCTACAAGTTTTTCAAACTACACAAGCTTGATACATATCTTCATAGTATTAAACCAGATTCCTGGTATAGGCTACAACTGCTGACATTCCCTGGGGCAATCATTTGGAAATTTTAAAGGAAATCAGTGGCGGATTATATTTCTCTCTTTCTCTCCCCCCATTCCCCACTGCATATTGAGCTTCTATTCCCCCTGGAATACAACTAACTTACCATGCATGTTGAGACATTGTCAAATCAACAGGAAACTTTTTAGCCTAAATACATGATAGATGGTAATGTTTAGAAGAAATTAGAGAAATGGGGTAGAAACTATGTAATGAATGACCGACTTACATTGATGAAGAAGTCGAAGAGTAGGCATGTACGGTCCATCACGTATATTGAAGAAAAGTGGCACATTGTTCACTATAACAAGATTCAGATGATTTGGGCTTACAAACAGAAAAGAAAGCAAAAGAAGAGTAGAAAGTTAGATTCAAGGCCATAATCTAATTGATAAAAGGCAGAAGTAAAATACAAGGATTTAAAGATCGTTGAAGAAAAGAAAACCATTTTGCAACTATTAGGGGGGATTTCTTAGGAAGCAAATCGTCCAATACTGGTTCAAGTCCTGGATACTGCAACAAAAAGGATTACAAGATTGATAAGTGCTAGAACTAAAGTGAAAGTACAGAGTAATGTGATAGGTATAGCCCTAATTAAGACCTCTTCCGCAACACTTTGGCGGATTTTGCGTTGCACAGATGCCTTTACTTGGTTTTGGCCAGAAACTTCTTCGGATGTGAACCTGCAAAACATTCAAAGGAAAATACCCAAAGGGTTATTTTACTCTGCATATTAGTAACTGCTAAAGAACAAGACTGCAGGACCTGAACTCCTCAAACAAGTAACTTGAACATCATTAACATCAACTACAGTTTGTTTGAATTTAATCACAGAGGACACAAATGGTGTTTAACTCAATACAACACAAACGGTGTCAACCTTGATATATGGCAAAAGTGTTGCAAACCAACATAAGCCAGAGTTTCTTTCATACACTTATTAAGCCATTATTCCACACAGCGAAGGAATAAAAATTCAACTTAAATGGCAATATGATTACATGACTCCTACTCTCCTCATTTGCCTAGGTACTGAAACTATTCACCTCATTAGTCCTATTGCCAGGTTGATTAGAATTTCATTTCTTCCACCTAAGGGTGAGGGTGGACCAGGGACTATAAAAAATGAATTTGAAAGGAACAAATAAAATCTCCTTCAACTCAGCAGACGAACAGCCATACAGACTGTCAATAGTTCATATAATCCCTTTCTCCTCAAAACCTTGCAACTTGAATAACAGTGATAGAATAAAGTTAAACTGCTACACTTCCAAACCGGTATCTCTTCACCTTCACTTTCTTTCAAATAACTTTCCTCAACAGCTTATATCCGTACTATATGAAACACCAAAAGTGTCTTGAGTATTTCAGGAAAACATGTTTTTGAAGCTCTGACACAGTTCATCACCCTTGATATCAAATAAGAATCTTCCTCGCCGCAAAATATCTGTTTCATATTTAATGTCAAATTTCGATTTTTCAACGATAAATGCTATCTATCTTCCCTACTTATCCCAGAGAAAATCCTTATCTAAGCTATTCACTGCAACAATTAATTGCTCTCAAACCCCCAATAACCTTACAACCCAGAGGCCCAACTCACAAGATGAATCCCCAAATCTAACAATAACTTGAAAACAACGAGCAAACAAACAAAACAAGAGGCAGAGATAATACAACAAAC